GGGGGTCCTTCTCCATTTTCACTGATGACTAGTTTTTAAATTGTTTTCTCTTTTTCTTTTTTTTTTTTTGGTGTGTGTGTGCGCGTGTGTGTGAAATGGAGTCTCGCTCTGTCGCCCAGACTGGAGTGCAGTGGTGCGATCTGGGCTCACGACAACCTCTGCCTCCCGCGTTCAAGCGATTCTCCTGCCTCAGCCTCCCGAGTAGCTGGGACTACAGGCTCGTGCCACCACGCCCCGCTGATTTGTTACATTTTTAGTAGAGCCTGGGTTTCACCCTGTTAGCCAAGATGGTCTCGATCTCCTACCCTCGTGATCCGCCCGCCTCAGCCTCCTAAAGTGCTGGGATTACAGGCGTGAGCCACTGCTCCCGCCTTTGCTTACTCTTTAAAAAAATTTGTAGTAAAAGTATTCCCACATAACAAGATCACATTTGCTTACTTTTTTGAGACAAGGTCTCGCTCTATCGCCCAGGCTGGAGTGCAGTGGCGATCACGGCTCACTGCAGCCTAGGCTTCCAGGGCTCAAGCAGTCCTCCCGCCTCAGCCTCCCAAAGCGCGAGGACCCCAGGAGCGCGCCACGCGCGGGCCACGAGGAGCTTCTGGAGGAGCCTTTGGGGTTTCGCTCCGGCCCCCGCACCCGTTTCTGCGCATGACAAGTTCCTAATAAACACTTGTCACGTGGATGAAGGAGACCAGGGTGCTCAGCCCCGGGGCCCAGACTCCCGCTGCCAGGCGCTGCCTGAGCCGAGACCCCCACCCGCGCCTGCCCGGCCAGGCCGCCCTTTCTCTGTGGTCCTCTGCCTGCAGGGGCAGCCTCCACCGCGCCACCGCGCAGCCTGGGAACGTCAGGAAAAGGAGCGTCGGGGCCTCGGTGGCGGCGTGGGAAACGCCGGGCAGGGCGGGGCGTTGTCACGGCAACAGAGAGACGCGACGGGCCCCGCCCCACCGCCAGTTCCCACGACAGCTTTGAAAAGCTGGCGACGCAGGCGGTGCCCCGGCCGCTGACCGACGCTACCTGGGCCGCCGCGCTTCGTCCCCGCCCACCCGGCAGGCCCCGCCCCCACGCCCGTCCCCGCCCTGCGCTCCGCGGCTGTCGCGAGGTTTCGACTCGCGTGGCGCCGCAGGGGCCGACGGGATCGGCGGCCGCGCTGAGGAGGCCAAGATGGCGGCAGCGGCGGCTTCGCTTCGCGGGGCGGTGCTGGGCCCGCGGGGCGCGGGGCTCCCGGGCGCGCGTGCCCGGGGTCTGCTGTGCAGCGCGCGGCCCGGGCAGCTCCCGCTGCGGACACCTCAGGTGAGCGCTGGGCCGGGTCCCGGCCTCCGCGCGGTCCGGCAGCCCCTTGAAGGTCACGGCGGGGAGGCTGCGGGCGCGGGCTGGAGCAGCGCGGAAGCGGCCCCGGCCCCCCGGCGCCTCCGGCCCGGCTGGGTCCCCGCTGCCTGCCGAGCCTGAGCGTGTGGGATCAGGGCCGGGTGCCCGCCTCTCCGAACGGCACGGGGCCTGGTCCCGAGCGTGGGGGTCGGCGGACCGGCTCTCCGCCGGGGCGGGGCGGGGCGGGGGCTTTCCCGGATGGCGCGCCCAGGACGGCTCTTGCGGCTGCCTGTCCAAACTGGGCCCGCGTCCTCAAGTGACCCCAGCCTGACCTCGGCCACCTGCTTGTGACCTTGGCATGCCCCAGCACTCTTGGTCACTTCGGTCTGATCCTCGGCTCAGGATCCAGGAACACCTCCTCCTGAGAGCGAATCACGGTCTGGGAGTCAGCAGCGGAGAGGGATGGGGTGGGTAGCGGGCCAGGGTGTGCGTCTGGCGCCCTGCAGGAGGCGGCCAGTGCTGGGTGGAGAGGTGGGCGCTGAGAGTCAGATCCCCAGGTAGGGTGGGTGGTGTCCTGGCAGGCGCTGAAGCGGAGATCTTGCAGGCAGTGTCCTTGTCGTCGAAGTCTGGCCCTTCCCGAGGCCGGAAGGTGATGCTGTCAGCGCTGGGCATGCTGGCGGCAGGGGGTGCGGGGCTGACCCTGGCTCTGCATTCGGCTGTGAGTGCCACTGACCTGGAGCTGCACGCCCCCAGCTATCCGTGGTCTCACCGTGGCCTCCTCTCTTCCTTGGACCACACCAGGTGTGCGGCTGGCTGGCTGGCAGGGGGAGGTTCTGGGTGGAGCTGGGAAGGTGGAATCTAAAGCGTTCCTAACCCTTTCCTCTCTTCAGCATCCGGAGGGGTTTCCAGGTATATAAGCAGGTGTGCTCCTCCTGCCACAGCATGGACTACGTGGCTTACCGCCACCTGGTGGGCGTGTGCTACACGGAGGCTGAAGCTAAGGCGCTGGCTGAGGAGGTGTGAGGTCTGGGGATGCCTGGGACCCAGGGCTCAGGGCTCCCACTGTGGTGAGATGGCAAGGTTGTGATGAGGCTCTCGGTGGCAGGTGGAGGTTCAAGATGGCCCCAATGAAAATGGGGAGATGTTTATGCGGCCGGGAAAGCTGGCTGACTATTTTCCAAAACCATACCCCAACCCTGAGGCTGCTCGAGCTGCCAACAACGGAGCATTGCCCCCTGACCTCAGCTACATCGTGCGAGCTAGGTACACGAGTTGCCCACGGGGTAGTACCGGAGAGGTGGGGGTAGGCTTGACTTGTGCTTGGGGCTAAGGAGCCATGGATCTGGTCCCAGGCATGGTGGTGAGGACTACATCTTCTCCCTGCTCACGGGCTACTGTGAGCCACCCACTGGGGTGTCACTGCGGGAAGGTCTCTACTTCAACCCCTACTTTCCTGGCCAGGCCATCGCCATGGCCCCTCCCATCTACACGGATGTCCTGGAGTTTGATGACGGTAAGAGGCCCCCATTCTGGGAGTGGGCATGTTGAATACTTCACTACCCCCAGGGATGCTTCCCTGTGTTCCCGGGTCCCTGAGGTCCTGCCCCCTTCTTGTAGGGTGTCTTCTGTGCATGTCTCAGGAAGGGCTCCTTCAGTTTCGCGTATGTCCAGTCAGGGGATACTGTCCCTTTGATGCCTTGAGTAGAGGCCACTGTTTGCTCCACAGAGAGGCTGCACTGAGAATTACATTAGGTTGGGCATGAGACTGAGAATAGCCCTCACTACTTGTCCTTGGCCCAGGCACCCCAGCTACCATGTCCCAGGTAGCCAAGGACGTGTGCACCTTCCTGCGCTGGGCATCTGAGCCAGAGCACGACCAACGAAAACTCATGGGGCTCAAGGTAAAAACTGTTGGGAGAAGGCCATGGTGGGTATCAGAGGGGCTGGGAGCTGGACAGAGCTCCCTTCCACTCCCTTCTCTGAGTCTTCCTTATTCTCAGATGTTGATGATAATGAGTCTGCTGGTGCCCCTGATCTACGCCATGAAGCGGCATAAGTGGTCAGTCCTGAAGAGTCGGAAGCTGGCATATCGGCCGCCCAAGTGACCCTGTCCAGCGTCTGCTTGCCTTCCTGCCAGAACAGGCCCTCAAGCCCAAGAGCCATCCCAGGCCTGTTCAGGCCTCAGCTGGCCCACTTGACTCAGCCCCTCTTCATCTGGAAAAAGAGGGAAGGGGACAGACCAGGCTCTAGCTCTGGACCCGCCTTCAGTCTCTATCATGGGAATAAATTAAGTTTCTCAATGTCCATATTTGAATTATTATGTGGAAGCAGTGCAGGTTTGCAAGGGACTCTAATACCAAGACCCGTGCCTTCACAGGGCTCCCAGGATGTCCCATGCAGTGTGGCCAGCAGTGCCTTGCACTAAGTGGTAGCTAGGAGTCCAGACAGTATTGGGTATTAGACAGAAGGCAGAGAACTGGATTTTAGAGGAAGTGGCAACATTTGGTGGGGTGGAGTGTGTCTGAAAGAGCTGAAAAGGGCCTAGCCAGACTGGATGTGGCCCAGGGACCTGTTGGAATGAACAGCCAAGTGTTAGGGTGTTGAGCCACTTGGTGTTGAACCCCCTTGTGATGGCAACAGGGAACCTTGGCAGCATTTCAGCAAGGCCTGGTCTAGAGCAGGGGCTACTGCTGGGCTGGGCTGAGAGGAAGGGGATGGCTCCCAGCCAGGTAAAGGAATCGGGTAGAGACGGGCAGGATGTGTATTGTGGAGTGGCCCCTCCTAGCAGTCCATAGGGCAGCTGGGTGGTGGGTCCAGGTCAGAAGCTGACAGTGGCTGGGTTCCCACAGGAGCATGCTACTGAGCGAAGGTGGCAGTGGATGCTATCTAGAAGGGTGAAGAGACGTGACCCAGCAGTGCCCTGCTGCAGTATGGTGTAGAACTCAGCTCCAGAGCTTTCCTTGTCCCTAGGAAGGGAAGGAAAACACCCATTGCTTTCTTTCTTTTTTTTTTTTTTAAAGATCATGTAATGGCACCATCTCAGCTCACTGTAACCCCCACCTCCCGGGTTCAAGCCATTCTCCTGCCTCAGCCTTCTGAGTAGCTGAGATTACAAGCACATGTCACCATGCCCAGCTCATTTTTGTATTTTTAGTAGATACGGGGTTTCCCTATGTTGGTCAGGATGGTCTCAAAACTCCTGACCTTGTAATCTGCCCACCTCGGCCTCTCAAAGTGCTGGGATTACAGGTGTGAGCCCCCGTGCCCAGCCAACACCCACTGCTGGTGTCCTAGCTCCAAGAGCTGAGGGAGGGGTGGCCAGAGTCCAGAGAAGACAAGAGCTGAACGGGAGAAAGGTGGTGGCAACAGAGCTGCAGGCAGGAGAGGTGCAGGCCTGGGTGACCAGGGGGAACAGCAGGAGACAAAGTCAGCAGTGGGGGCTGCAGCTCAGTGTGTGGCACACCCCAGCAGCCTCAGCCCTGTGGTGAGCAGCTGGGTGGGGGCCCTGTAGGCCTCTGGGGTCTGGGAAGAGATCCCCATGCCATGCTTTCCTGACCACTAAAGCTCAGGGTCTTGGTCCACTTCATTACCACCTGGTCTGGCAGGGGGAGCCCCACCTGCTGATGAGGGCCTATCTCCGTGTAGCTCTGGCTAGGCTGGGGGAGGTCTGCAGAGATACAATGAAGGGACACTTGTTGGCTGTTAAGGGTCTTTAATGGTTCTGGTTTGTGGTCCTTCCCCCTAACCCTGGTGGCTCATCCCAGCAAGCACTCAGTAGAGGGCCCCTGAGTTCAGCGGGGGCCTGGAGATGTCGACCTGTTGGGAAGGGCCACTCGTCCCTTATAACCTGTTGGGGAGGAGGTGGGTCATTCCCGTGGATTCTGCCCTACCCACCCACCGCCCCTGCGTGTGCCACCTCTGGTACCTCTGGTGGCTGTTAGGTGGAAGCTGTGGCAAGGGGATCCCAAGTGCAGGGCCTCTGGGTGCTACACATCTCACAGCCAGGGCGGCTCGGGGCGTTGATGAAGGTGCAGGAGGGACAGGACCAACCGGGCTGGGGGAGGAAAGACAGCTGTTAGTTCCCTGCTCTTTCCAATGGCCATAGCTGTCCTTGCCCTCCGTGCCCAGTCCCGTGCCCACCTGGAGAGGACTGGGTAGGCTGGAAGTGGCTGGCTGGGGGCCTGGGGGCAAGCCCAATGACGCAGGAAACAAGCGTCCACGTTCCCCATCTGTCTTCTGGGGGTGATGAGGGCTGGGTCCTGTGGCTGAGGGGGTGGAGCTCAGGACTATTGGGCTGCACCCCACCTCCCGCACCCCACCCACATCAAGGACTGACCTGGGGCTTCTCGAGGAGCAGTCAGCAAGTAGAGGAAAGCAGGGTCCCCATCCTGCCGAACCCCATAGGAGGCAAGACTGCGCTCAGGCACACAAAGGCACCGCCCAATGACCCAGCGTTGCATGGCGGGCGGGAAACCAAGCTCTGAGAACACCTGCAGCCAGAGCATCAGGGCAGGTGGTGTCACCTAGGCTCCCCTGCCCCTGGCAGGCCCCCTGGACCCTGTGCCCACCTGCTCCTGGAGAGCTGCAATGGTGCAGTGGGGGTGGACCTGCAGTGTGATGTGGGCAGAGGATGCGGTGGATGCAGCAGAGGCAGCATCTTCAAGTGTGACCTGCAGCCTGGGCCAGAATGTGAGTTGAGGAATGGATGGAAAACCTGGGAGGGTCACGAGGGCAAGGTGAGGAAGAAGCCCCAGGCCTCACCTGATGGGGCCAGGTGGGAAGCAGGCCTCCTGAAGCTGAACGCTGAGGGCCTCGCGATGCTGGGCCAGCACGGCTGCTGCTTGGGCTGCCCCCTTCTCGTCCCCACTTGCAATGGCCCGGGCCAGGCGTCCTGCAAGCTCTTCTGCAGGGCAAGGAAAGGACAGCTATCCCCACTGGGCACTGTCTGCTATCCCCAACTCCCTAACCCACCCACTTATACCTCTCTCCATCAAGTTTCCAGGGCTCCTAGGAAGATCTGCCTCAGGTTGAGGGGTCTTGAGTGTAGGGGCTTCCGGGGGACTGGGCAGGGAGGCAGGGCATGCCTCTGGGCCGAGGGTTGGTGGTGAGCTGCTGCTGCTGCTGCTGCCTAGAGGAAAGATATGGGTGGGCTGTGCTGTGGCCTCTGTCCAGGTGTCTGGGCCCTTGGGTTTTCAGAACCTTTGCCCTTCCCCCAACCTCAGTCCATGCCAGGGCCCTGCCTCACGCCACGCTTCAGGCCATTCCTTCTCCTAGCCTTGGTTCTGGCAAGCCCCTCAGAGGTCCCGCCAGACTCCTGTTTGTGCTGGAGCTGCACTTGGTTTATCTTTAGGAATTAGAGTCCTTCCAAACCCTTTTGCTGCCTGGCCAGGCCACCTCTCTTGGCCCTTTCTGCCAGCCAGGGATGCCTCATAGCAGAACCAAAGCAGGACCTCAGTGGCCCTGCAGTGAGGGTGGTCTCTTGTTGCCCTTGGGGACCTCCCCTCTCCTGGCTCCCTGACCCACACTTGGGCTGCCAGCATTCCAGACAAGCCACTGCCCTGGGCATCTTCAGAGCTGGGCATGCTGCTGTCTCTCCTTAACCCCCATGTGAGGTCCAGCCCACTGCAATGGGCTAACACAGCTCCTGTGATGACCTCAGGCCCACTGTATTCAAACTGTCTCCCCACTAGGACAAGCAAGGCACACAGCACTGTTCTTGGCCCTGGCCCCAATCCCCACTGAACCTTAAGGATCATTTGCACATGCTCACCTCAGGCTTTTTGTGTTTGCTGCTTTCTTGGTCACATGGTTCATGCCATGACCTTCAAATTTCACTCCAGTGTCACCTCAATGAAGCCTTCCCTGCCACTGTTTTTTTGTTTGAGATGAAGTTTCACTCTTGTTGCCCAAGCTGGAGTACAATGGTGCAATCTCAGCTCACCACAACCTCTGCCTCCTGGGTTCAAGTGATTCTCTTACCTCAGCCAGAGTAGCTGGGATTACAGGCATGCACCACCATGCTCAGCTAATTTCGTATTTTTAGTAGAGACGGGGCTTCTCCATGTTGGTCAGGCTGGTCTCAAACTCCTGACCTCGGGTGATCTGCCCGCCTTGGCCTCCCAAAATGCTGGGATTACAGGTGTATGCCACCACGCCCAGCCCCTGCCACTGTTTTAAACACTAATCCTCCCAGCTCCAGCATTCCCATTCCCACACCATCTAACAGACTTAAAAAAAAAAACTCATTTTATTTATTTTTATTTATTGGAGATAGGATCTCACTCTGTCACCATGGCTGGAGCACAGTGGCGTGATCACAGCTCACTGCAGCCTTGAATCCCTGGGCTCAAGCCAGCCTCCCACCTCAGCCTCCCAAATAGCTGGGATTACAGGCAGACAACACTACAATCAGCTAATTTTTAAGCTTTTCTGTATGTTGCCCACCCCATCCTTATTTTATATGTCTCCTCCCTCTAAGAATGCCAGCTCCAAGAGAATGGAGATTGCAGGTTATGTTCATTGTTCATGCCAAAGGACCAGCTGCTGAACACATATGCTTAGTGAGTGAATGACTAAAGAGAGCCTAACTCCTTTTTTTTTTTTTTTTTTGAGATGTAGTCTTACTCAGCCACCCAGTAGCTGGGATTACAGGCACCCACCATCATGTCCAGCTGTTTTTTGTATTTTAGTAGAGACGGGGTTTCACCATGTTGGCCAGGCTGGTCCTTGAACTCCTGACCTCAGGTGATCTGCCCGCCTCAGCCTCCCAAAGTGCTGGGATTACAGGCATGAGCCACGGCGCGTGGCTGCCTATCTCCTTACATCACTGTCTGGCTGTCTTCCTACCCCTCTGGCAGCTCTGCTTCTCTCGTCTGTGGGCTGCCCACTATCTGGGAGCCCCAAACTACCTAGTCCTTCGTCTTTCTCAGTCTCAACTATTGACTCTTCCATTTAAGCCAGGGGCAGTGGCTTACGCTCATGACCTCAGCCACTTAGGCTGAAGCAGGAGGGTGGCCTGAGCCCATGAGCTCAAGGCTGCAGTGAGTAAGGATCACACTGCTGCACTCCAGCGTGGGTGATAGAGGGACACCTTGTCTGCAAAAAACCTCCCAAGCAGCCATTAACCTCAGCTAATTCCATCTTCTCAGCATCTCTGGAAACACCCTTCTCCCCAGCCCTCTCTGCACTAACCCTTGCCACTGCAGAACTGTCAGTCTTAAGCAGCAGGTATCTGAGTCTGTCACCCTCCTGCTGCTCTTGGGATGATGTTTTCTCACCAGGTCCTGACCCTGCCTGCTCTGCCTCTTCATGCTTGCCTCTCATGCTTCCTGAGGGATGAGGAAGGGCAGGCTGAGATTGCATGGCTTCTCGGTGGAGGCTGCAACTTGTGCTGGCTGGGGCATGGGATGGTGTAGGAGACCGACTCCAGGAGCCCCTCCAAACTACTCCAAGCTACACCAGGCTCCACCTTCTCCCTCTGGGAGCCTTCCCAGACATCCAGCTGTGGAGAAGGTGGATCCAACTTCCCCAACCAGGACCGGGGGACCAAGGCTACTCCAAATGAGTATCCACTACAGGGCACTGACCATTGTGTCCTTCCACGGTGGCACCTCGGACCAGGACTGCCCACCGCTGAGCTTCTTGAGGGTTGAGGAAGTGCAGGCTGAGGGTTCCAGGCCCTCCTGGTGGAGGCTGCAGCTCGTGCTGGCTGGGGCCTCGAATGGTGTAGGAGACTGACTCCAGAGGCCACTCCAAACTGACCTGAGGAGGGGGAGAGTCCAGGCTCAGAACTTCCCCTGGCCCTATAGCGCATGATGAGCGAAGGAACACAAGGTAACATTTACAGGCCATTTACACGGTCTTAAGCCCTGTTCACCTATCATCAAATCCTAATAGTCCTGTAAAGTAGGTCCCAGCATTACCCCCATTTCACGGACGAAAAAACAGAAGCAAAGAAACATAACTGCTTAAGGGCACCCAGGTGGCAGGCGGAGGGGCCTGTCCTCGGGGTCCGGGCCCCACCCGGGCCAAGAGGACTTGACCGTGCAACTCTGTCCCCACTCACCGCCCCGGGTCCCGCGCCCAGCAGCTCCAGCCGGAAGCGCCCAGGCCGCTCAGGGTCCGCGCTCAGCTGCAGCCTCCGCAGCTGCGTCTCGGCGTCTGGCCCGGCGCCCAGCGGCCTCACCGCGGCGTGCACAGCCAAGAGCACCGCGGCGGAGCCCGAGTCAGAGGCCGCCGCCGCCCCGCCTGCCGGGGGCGCCATCTCCGGTCCGGCCCGGTCTCGACCCTCCGAGCGCGCTTCCGTGGGATCCGGCCGTTGAGCGCCTCCGCCGGCCGGAAACGCGAGCCGCGAGCCTGGGGTTCCGGGCGCGCCCAGAGCGTCGGGCCAGGGACGGAGCTGAGTACTGGACCCTGGCCGAGTCGGCCCTGCTGGCTTTGCCCAGACATGGACACGGCCCGAGGGTTTCCGGACACGGGCTGGGCGAGGCCGGCGGTGTGCACGAGCCTGGGGCAGGGCGGCGGAGGCGCTCACATTTAACCTTTGGGGGCGAAGGGTCAGGAGCTGAAGCACCGGCCACAACTGAAGGCGGGCGCGGCCTCTGCGCCCCAGGGGCTCGGCGGGCGGAGCTGCAGCCGGCGAGCGACTACCCCAGCGCCTGGCTGCAGCTGGACGCCGCTCCCGGGCCCCTCAGCGGGCGCCACCGTCACGCCCACACGTAGCACTAGGTTGGCCCGCACCGCTCTAGGTACGCTACGGGGCGACCCCCCTCGGGGGCGGAGCGAGAGAGACCGCGGCCAATGAGCGCCGAGGGTAGGCGGGTTAGTACGGCGAGAGGCGTGACAGACAGGCTCCATAACCAGTAGACATAGAAGACAGAACTAAGTGGCAGGTAAGGCCGCCAATGACTATTTGAGTTCTTGATCCAGGAGACGGGAGCGGGCCATTCAGAGGCGCGGGGCCGGGCCTGGCGGACGCTTGTTGTTGTCCGGCCGGGGGAGGCGGAGGTCGCTGGCTCGCTCGCTCGCTCGCTGACTTGCCAGGGTGCTCTGTGTCGGTCGGCGGCAGGTCGGTCGCGAGAGCGGGCTCTGTGCAGGGGGGCGAGGCTATGTCGCGGTGGCAGCCCGGATGGGCCGTCAGGGCCGGGAGTAACGGGACGTCGCCGCGGAGCTTCTTCCCCCGGATACAGTGCGGCCCGAGCGGAGGCCGCGGCGCCGCCCTCCGATCCTGAGAAGCCCACGCTGCCCGGAGCCCGCCCCTGCCTGCGCACCGGCACCGACGCAGAGCGACCTAGCCAAGCCAGGCCCGGCCTGGCGCGGCCCGATCCGACCCAGCCAGGCAGGTGGGTGTCCGCCCTGCTCCCCGCTCTGTCTCGGGCCGCCAGAACTACAGCCCCCAGCAGGCCTCGCGCGGCGCGCTGCCTCCTGGGACTTGTAGTTCCACCTGGCTCGGCGGGTGCCCGGCCCGGCCGACTCTGCAGCACCCCAGCGGGGCCGAGGGACCGCCCTCCTAGGCGCCCGGAGAAACTAGGCGCTCTTTCAGAGTAGCGTGGAGGAGCCTGTAGCTTTCCTCTCCCCTGACCAGAAAACAGCCAGAACAACAGAAGAGCGCCTGCCCAGGTGACCGCAGGGCCTGGAGTCCCAGGTGTCCTGGTTCCTAACCGGGATACAACCTCTTACCCCGGCCTAGGAGCCCAGCCAGCCTGAGGGAGACTGCAGGGTCCTGTCCCGTTGCGGACTCAAAAGTTACCCCCATGGTGGCTGGAGCTCTTCTTTCGGGATGGGGATGGGGAAGGTTGAGCAACAAGCTAAGCTAGCAGCCCCAGGGCGAGCAGGGTCCCCGGTGGCCCCAGCCTCACCCCAGAACTCGCGCGCCCTGTAGGGGGTGTGGCTGACCTGGAGCCCAGACTTGCCACCCTCAGGTAAAACAGGATCTCATCACCTCTCCGGGCCGGGCAGTGGGGGGGCTCCTCATGTGCAGCCTAAACAGGGGCCCGAGTCAGCTTGTTCCCAGTGGCTCCACTTAGTGGGTAGGAGGGCTGAAGGCAGGTCCCCAAGGGGCCAAATACCCATGGTCTGGCCTCTCACTCCCCAGGCAGCACTAGCCCTCCTGGAGCAGGAAGCTCCCTCCCAAGGACATGAAGCTGTTGGAGAACTCGAGCTTTGAAGCCATCAACTCACAGCTGACTGTGGAGACCGGAGATGCCCACATTATCGGCAGGTGAAGCAGGCTGGGGGGACTGGCATCTCGGTGGGTCACACGGCCCTGCCCTTGAATGGAACCTGGGGGAAGAGTGCTTCATGGTCCCCCTTCGTCCCATAGGATTGAGAGCTACTCATGTAAGATGGCAGGAGATGACAAACACATGTTCAAGCAGTTCTGCCAGGAGGGCCAGCCCCACGTGCTGGAGGCACTCTCTCCACCCCAGACCTCAGGCCTCAGTCCCAGCAGGTGAGCCACGGTGGGGCCCACCTGGGGCTGGGGGTTGGGGGTTGGGGGAAGGTGATGGGCCCAGTTGATGCTCCTTTCTCTGCAGACTCAGCAAAAGCCAAGGTGGAGAAGACGAGGGCCCCCTCAGTGACAAGTGCAGCCGCAAGACCCTCTTCTACCTGATTGCCACACTCAATGAGTCCTTCAGGCCCGACTATGACTTCAGCACAGCCCGCAGCCATGAATTCAGCCGGGAGCCCAGCCTTAGCTGGGTGAGGGTCAGGTGGAGGGAAGGGACCCACAGCCAGCCCCCTGTCCTTCTCCACTTTCAGTAGTCCCTGGGCTCCTGTCAGCCTGACTGTGGCCTGCCCTAGGTGGTGAATGCAGTCAACTGCAGTCTGTTCTCAGCTGTGCGGGAGGACTTCAAGGCCCTGAAACCACAGCTGTGGAACGCGGTGGACGAGGAGATCTGCCTGGCTGAATGTGACATCTACAGGTGGGCTGGCATCCCTGCAGGTGGGCCCCCAGGTATGTGTGGCACTTGGGGCCTCACACCACCTGTCGTCCTGTACTCCCCAGCTATAACCCAGACCTGGACTCAGACCCCTTCGGGGAGGATGGCAGCCTCTGGTCCTTCAACTACTTCTTCTACAACAAGCGGCTCAAGCGAATTGTCTTCTTTAGCTGCCGCTCCATCAGGTGGGCACCATCCACCTCCTCCCCCAGCTCCCTGTTGGGCCCATACAACTTCACCAGCTGTGCCATCTCCACTCGGCTTTGTTCTCCCTGAACATCCTCCCTGGGGCCAGCAGCAGGCCTGGGTAGGGGGTCCTAAAACTGGTTTCCCTGTCTCCCCTCAGTGGCTCCACCTACACGTCCTCAGAGGCAGGCAATGAGCTGGACATGGAGCTGGGGGAGGAGGAGGTGGAGGACGAAAGCAGAAGTGGAGGCAGTGGGGGTGGGGCCGAGGAGACAAGCACCATGGAGGAGGACAGGTGTGTGATGGGGGCTGTGACACGGGTCCCTGGAGCCTCCAGTGGGTACAACAGGGTGGGGGCCTTCTCTGCTTGGTCTAAGTGGTGGCACCTGAAGGCCCACTGTGTGCCAACCTCCACCCAGGGTCCCAGTGATCTGTATGTGATGAGGAGGAGCAGAGGCCCCAGCTTCTTCCAGCTTCAACCAATGCCTGGACCTGTCTGCCTGAGAGGCCCCTGGGGCCTCCCCAGCTGCTGGCCAAACCCTGGCACTGCCACAGTCCTGGCACTGCCCAAGGCCACACCTGCCTAGCCCTTTGGCTCCAGCCTGTGGATGCCCACTCACCCCCCAGGCTCCCGCTGCCCATGCTGTGGCCAGACTCTGCAGCAGGGGACCTGGTGGGAAGAGCAACTGCCCTGCCCAGATGAACTGCCACAAGCAGGGACAGCTGGACCACAGAGTTTATTTTTGTATTTCTTCTGGGCCTACACACTCCAGCCCAAAGGGCCTGTGGCCAGAGGCCCCGCAAGCAGGCCCCAGTGGTCACCGGCTCTGGTCTTGGGCCGGCCCCTGGTGCCCACCTGTACCCCCCACCTTGCCCATTTGGCCACGTGCACTGAGTGTCACTTTGCTGCAGCTCGTTCCTTTACAATAAAAGTTTCTGTGACTTAGTGTGGGCCTGGTGCGATGTGGGGGCGGGGCCTGCGATGTGGGTGTGGCCGGCTGCATCTGGTATCCTAGCAACGGCGGCCGCGGGCCACGACCGCTAAGTCCTGGAAGCTGTTGGGCTCTGGGACCGCAGTCGCTGAAATGGAGGCAGAGGTGTGGGAGGCAAGCAACTTCTCAGAAGGCTACAACCTAGCTCTGGATTCAGACCTGTATGATGCAGATGGCTATGATGTCCCAGACCCCGGGCTGCTCACGGAAAATAATGGTGAGGGGGCCTGGCCTCGCCCCACAGGCATCCCGCTAGGAAGTGGGGCTCAGTCGGCTTGGGTTCTATGCCCTGGATCGAAAGTCCCCTGGGCAGTGCCCAGCACGGCTGAGCCCCTGGAAGAGAACTCCCTGTAACCGTCAGGAAATGGGACCTGAGGCTGCAGGTGGCGGAACTTCCAACTCCCACCCGCAGAGTGGACTTTCACGGAGCCGCCGCAGGTCCTGCCGTTTCTGACCAGCAGCTGGCGGTGGCCAAGCCTGACCCCACGCCCCCGTGCCCGCCAGCTGTGGCTGCTCTTGCGCAGCAGCCTCCACGAAGTTGTGGAAAAGGTGCGGTGCACCCCTCCTGTGCCTCCAGGCCTCTCTCAGGATCTGGCCCTTCCCCTGGGGGTCCCCTAGGCCAGAGCAGTCCCAACCTCTGATTGCGGGTCCGCCCACCCCGGCCCACAGGAGAAGAGAGCCGAGCTGTGCGTGGCGCGTCTGACGCACGGGCTGGAGCCACTGCGCCGCCTGGACGTGGCGGCCGGGCTGCGCTCGGTGGCGCAGGACCCTGCAGGCGGACGCTTCGTAGTGCTGGACGGCGCGGGCCGCCTGCACCTGCACAAGGAAGACGGCTGGGCACAGGAGATGCTGCCGGCGCCCGTCGGGCTCACGGGGCTGGTGACCGTGCTGGGCCCGTTGGGCTCGGTGGGCCGTTTTGTAGGTTGGGGCCCCGCAGGGCTGGCCATTCTGAGACCCAACTTCAGCCTGCTGTGGCTGAGCGAGCAGGGGGTGGGCAGGGAGCCGGGTCGGGCGCCCTCCTGCTGTCTGCCAGTGCCTGACCTCAGGCTGCTGCTTGTGGCGGAGACCGACGGCAGCCTGGCGCTCTGGCAGTTCCGCTCAGGTGGTCGCCGCTTGGTGCTGCGAGGGGCACCACTGCATCCGCCCCTGAGCCCAACGGCCAGGCTCATGCGTCTGGCTGTGGGGCCGACTCCTCCCCACAACGTTCTGCGCTGCTTCGCGGCCTACGGCTCGGCTGTGCTCACTTTCGATCTCCATGCCTGGGCTCTTGTAGATGTGCGCCGGGATTTGCACAAAACGTGAGTGGGTCCCCCTAGGGAGGGTCAGGCACGTAGGGGCCCACACCCCTCACGCACAAGGCGGTGTTAAGTCCGTTGGGCTTCTTCCATTCCCCATCTATAGCACCATCTCGGACCTGGCTTACTGCGAGGAGGTATTGGCAATGGTGACAGCTTCCCGGGACAGCACCGTGAAGGTGTGGGAGGCTGACTGGCAGATCCGGATGGTGTTCGTGGGCCATACAGGTGCTCCAAGTTCTCTACACCCCGAGCCTCGGCCCTTTGCCTCCAGCAGCTCTAGGCTGCCCAGCATCTCTGCAGCTCTGGCCAGGCCTCGCTGCGCTGACTGTGACACTGGCTGAAGGCTCCCCTGCCTTCAGTCACCTGAGTGACCTGCATCCCTCCCGCAGGCCCGGTGACGGCTGTGGCCGTGCTCCCGAACACGACCCTGGTGTTGTCGGCCTCGCAGGACGGAACGCTGCGCACCTGGGACCTGCAGGCGGCGGCGCAGGTGGGCGAGGTAGCGCTGGGCTACTGGGGCCAGGACAAGCTGTCTGGGCGCGTGAGCCGTCTGCTGGCCCCAGTGCGCCCTGGCTGGCCAGTGCTGTCTCTGTGCGCCAGCAGCGTGCAGCTGTGGCACATGCGCGAGCTCTACTCGCCGTTAGCGCAGCTGCCCGCCAAGGTGCTCCACTTGCAGGTGGCGCCCGCGCTGCCAGTGCCCGCGCAGCCATCCCTGCCTACGCGCCTCGTGTGCGCGTGCACCGACGGCTCGGTCTACCTCCTGTCGGCTGCCACCGGGCGCATAGTGAGCGCACTGCTGCTGGAGCCGGAGGACTGTGCGGCCGCTGTGGCCTATTGCCTGCCGTGCGAGGCGCTGTGGCTGCTGACCAAGGCCGGGCACCTGGTCCGCGCCAATGCGGCGCGCTGCCCCATGTCTGTGCTCCACCGCTTGTGCCCGCCTCCGCCCCCTGCGCCGCAGCCTTGCTGTCTGCACCTGTACAGCCACCTCAGGGACCTCGGAGGCGCCTTCTCCTCCTGGGAGGTTGTGCGCCAGCACCTGGGGGAGTTGCGCCGCAGCGCTGTGGCCGCCGCCTGGAAGAATAAGAACCGGTGGGTGCGGGAGCCAGCAAGGGCCTGGCGGGCGGAAGGAGCACGGGGCCCGCGCCAACAAGCTCTTCCCACCCGCAGGTACCTGCCCGTGGTGGGGCACACGGACGGCACACTGTCGGTGCTGGAGTGGCTCTCATCGAAGACTGTTTTCCAAACGGAGGCGCACAGCCCGGGCCCGGTCGCCGCCATCGCATCCACCTGGAACAGCATCGTGTCTTCGGGTGAGTAGCTCCCCTGCCCTGCGGCCAGCCCGCCACGGGGCCCCTCCCCTCCGCGAAGGCCCAGCCAAGCTCCGCCCCTGCAGGTGGGGACCTGACGGTAAAGATGTGGCGCGTATTTCCCTACGCGGAGGAGAGCCTGAGCCTGCTGCGCACTTTCTCCTGCTGCTACCCAGCCGTGGCGCTCTGTGCGCTGGGCAGACGCGTCACCGTGGGCTTCGAGGACCCAGACAGCGCTACCTACGGCCTGGTACAGTTCGGCCTGGGCGACAGCCCGCGATTAGACCACCGGCCCCAGGACGACCCCACGGACCACATCACCGGTGAGGGGGCAGCGCGGGTGAAGCGCAGCCACCGCACGGCTCCGATTCCTGACGCTGAGCCCTGCCCCCAGGCCTGTGCTGCTGCCCGACGCTCAAGCTGTACGCCTGCTCCAGCCTGGACTGCACCGTTCGCATCTGGACCGCTGAGAACCGCCTCCTGCGGTGGGCTGGGGCCTGGGGAGGGCTGGGCTCTCCTACCTCTGCCCCTCACCAGAGCCCAGTGGCTAGATGGGGTGGAAAAAGGCCTTGTCCCTACTGAGCCTCAGGTGCCCACTCTGGGAAGCAGAGGCTGGACTCTGGCCCCTGGGTGCCCCTCCAGGCTCCTGCAGCTGAATGGTGCCCCTCAGGCCTTGGCTTTCTGCAGCAACAGTGGAGACCTGGTGCTGGCACTGGGCTCCCGCCTCTGCCTGGTGTCCCATAGGCTCTACCTGCCTACATCCTACCTGGTTAAGGTGTGTGGTGAGGACAGAGTGGGCAAGGTTGCCCCCCTTTGCCCACCTTGGGAGGCAGACTCCGGTTTCCCCAGCCAGGGATATAGGTTCCTTCTCTTATTCAGAAGATGTGCCGGAAGGCCCCGGACGTAGTGGACGACCCTCCCCTGCCACTAACGAGCCAGGAGTCACTGACCTCCACCCAGCTGCAGAGGCTCACCAACCTCCATGGGGCAGCCAGTCTCAGGTCCTATGCAGGCCTGCTCAGCCCTCCCGGGGGCCCCCCTTTCCCACCCTGGGTGGGAGCCTGGCTGTGTGGGCCCCTGGGGAGTTGATGCAAGCCCACGTGAGCCCTGGCACCCCCATTTGGGGTTGGTCCTTGTCCCAGGCTTTGCCCCAACCCACTGGCATGCCGTCCAGCACCCCACCTATGCCCGTCCCTGTCTGCAGTGAGGCCTTGTCTCTCATCCATCGTCGGAGGGCAACATATCAGCACCCGGTGCTGAAGGAGGTGGGGTGGATCCTCCTTCGCCCACCCTGCCCAGGTTCAGGCCCCAGCCCTCAGGCCTGGGGCGGGCCTGGGATCCCTGTGGTTGCCTGGGAAGCACATGGCAAGGCTCAAGGAGGAGGAGGCTGACCCCCGAACCCTGCCTCAGGACTTGGATGCCCTAGTGGCCCGGGACCAAGACCTTCAGCAGTTGAGACTGGGGCTAGTGGTCCCAGCAGCACGGCCCCCACCCTCCTGGCAGCAGCGCCAGGAAGCCTTTGACAATTACCTACGTCTCATCTACGGCTCTGGCCTGATGGTGGGTGTGGGGCCTCCCCTAGCCCAGCCCTGACCCCGGCCCCTCCTCTCCACCCACCTCTCCCACCCAGTCTCTGACACCGTCCATCTGCTCCCACCGCCTTCCCAGGGCATGCAGTCCACAAGGGAGTCCCAGCGGTGGAGCACCGGGACCCTCACAGTAGAGAGAGAGACCTGGGATGTGTGTGCCCTACCTCAAGCTGCCCCCCGTCTTGGGCAGGCTGAGGTCAGCACTGCAGTCCAAACAGTGCCAACAGCCCTGTCCCCACAGGACCTGGGGGCCCTGTGCCAGCACTTCTCCCGGCCTCCCCAAGTCACAGTGCCTATCCCACCCACCCACCAGAGGGTGCACAGCAAGGCATCCCAGGTGAGACTTCCCACCCTCTCGTATGCCTGCTGGGCTCCCATGGCCCCTCTGCCTCCCTGTGACTCCTCCTGTGCCCCAGCTTCTGGTCCACTCCTCACTCAGCCACTACCTGGGCCTCAGTCTGGAGCTGCAGCTGCAGGTGGAGCAGCTCCAAGGGAGGACAACCATGGCCCTGGACCTGCCATCCTCCCACCTGCAGTGCAGGGAGAGGGACCCAGGCAGGTGGGGTACCACCTACTGAGGCACAGAGCTGCAGGGGCACTGGGCTATGCTGTTCTGAGCCCCTGTTCCATCCCCAGATCCCACTGTTGCCAAAGAGACGTCCCCAGGAACCTCTCTCTCACCTCAGGGGCTTCTTTCCTGCCACCGTGCAGCCCCACAAGGTGAGACCCCACCCAGCTCCTGGAGAGCCACTCCTCTCTGG